GCTCGGGTAGCCAATCACAGCGCAGGATTTGATTCATCTTGCCCGCTCACGGAGCTAGCGATATAATAATTAAAAATATCGAAGGTGAGTCAACGGAGACAAATGTTACCAACGTTTTCACAAATCTTAACCCTTCAAGAGGCATTTGAAACCGTCGCACAGATAAACGAAGAGCTAAAAAAACGAAATTCGATGGTGCGTTTCGCAAACAAATCAAACTTCTAATCGATAGATCTTCATTATTTTTTAGCCACCTGCCCTATTATTGTTCATTTTATTACTTGGCGCGCGCTCGATGCATGACGTAGCATGTGAATTTATTTGCGCGCGCAGTAGGGATGCGCAGAAATAATTAGCGTGAACGTCCCATTCTCCGACCACGTGACGAAAAGAAACGGAGGCTCTGGGGACAAGAATGGAACGTCCTTAAGGGCGCCTCACCAATTCTTGGATATCGCAGGTTGCAGCATGATATTTGCTTCATTAAATTTGCTTCTTTACAGATTTACAGATCAACAGGGTTTGCCAGTTCTTTGTAATTAACTACAGTGAAAGTTTAGTCACGACGAAGAAGACGAAAAATGTTCCTCTTACTTTCTCTTACTCTCAGCGATGTTGGCGCCACACTAACCGATCGCTGCGCCACAAGAAAAGCAAAATCTATGAAACCCATCTTTTATGAAAGTCGTACCTCCGCAAGGGCAAGATACCCTGGATTGTCTCTTTTTCGGCTCTTTGGGTATTTTTCCTAATCCAAAAGTGACTACACGGGGAGGAAGAATAGCCGTCGCCCCAGCCGCTCTTAGGGATGTTCGACGACAACCAGCTCGGGTGGATTCAGAGAACCCCTCTGGGACCTTCAGCAGAGAATTAAAATACTTCACCATATCGAATGACTCTCTTGGTGTAAGGACCTCACTGTCAAGTACAACATCAGCAAATTCCTTTTCTTTCATCACAGGGAAACGAATTGCCTTAACGATCCGTTCTCCGAGGATCCTTCTTTTCACAGGACCTTCTTCTGCTAGGCCTTGCTTTTTACATTCCTTTGAAGCCCAGCAATCGACAGCTTTGAATAATTCCACCTCCTT